GCCTGACACGGGGCTCAAACCCACAAACCAGGAGATCATGACCTAAGCTGAAGTTGGATGCTAAACCGATGGAGCCAGCCAGGAACCCCTCAAAAAATATTTTTAAATTAAGGTCTGTACATTTTTTTTTACGACATAATGCTACTACACACTTAGTAGACTACAGTCTAGTGTGAATATAACATTTTATGGACTGGGAAACCAAAAAACTCATTTGACATGCTTTATTGTGATATTTGCTTTATTGTGGTGGTCTGGAGCCAAACCTGCAATGTCTCCGAGGTATGCCTGTACACTAGGCGTGCACACACACACACACACACACACACACGACAGCCCAGAAATGCATTTAGCACTCTTGGTTACATCTATTAAACAACAACTCATAACTTAAAGTCTTATATTTTGAATACCAATTCGGTCAAATGGAAAATTTCAAAGCAGCGTTAGCTGTGTTAATCTGACAAATAACCAACTCAGATCTTCATTATGATGCACTCACCTGGGGCTCCCCTCCCACACTTCAGTTAAATACATATATCCACGCCAGCGAAAAGGGACCTGGCAGCTTGTATTCAGGAGTTGAGAGAGGCCCCACAAGGCTGGAGTCCTGCTCTCATTCTATAAGGCAGGCTGCAGCCTTCCTTGCTGAGCAACTTTGACTCATCTGAATGTGAGGCTCCTGTCCTGCTCATACTGCATTGTTCATAGTAAGACCACGTCAGGGAAGATACAGAAGATTCCACAAAGCGGAAACTACCACCTTATTTAGGTACTTCTAACAGAGATTCATCAGAAGTGCAAGAACTAATAGTCAAATTCAAAACTATTCTGATTTGCTTCAAAAAAAGTTTTACCATATTTGGGAAGTTTTAAAAGCTCTAAACTTCAAATGCCTTGTGATAAAATAAGAATAGGACTAACATGTATCTCAAGTAATTCTTAAGATAACTTAGGCCAAAATGGGGGCTAAAACATCAAGAAAGCTGGCCCAGACTACAAGCAGTGGAACCATAATTACCTGTTTCTCCCCACAGCGTGTCGGTGCCATTGACGTCTACCTCGTGTTCCTTCTCCAGTCCCAGCAAGCACTGGACCACCTGTCAGAAGTGGCGAGGTGATTTAATGAGTTCTCACAGCCATATGTGCTTATTATATCCCATGTATCAAAGAAGAAAGTGTGTTGTTTTTTAACCATAATTATCTCATGCTACACGAGACAAAATATAATGAAAACTGTTTTCAAGCATAATTCATATGCTATTCACATTTTCACTTTGAGAAGAATAAAAAAACCTCAGTGAATTTCAGCAACATTGTTCAGGATTACTAGGTACTCAGAATTCTAATGAATTCCAACATGACCCAAATATGCCAGCCTAATCAACAAAGGACACGGGAGATCATACAAAGTGCAGTTTCTGCATAAATCGCAGGAAGATGGTGAATCCGTTTTTTCACAAAGATACAAAACAAAGCAATATATACCTTTTCAATAAAATAAAATAAATAGTATTGTCCAGAAGATTTTTCTACTGACAGCATCATTCTTCTTTTCCCTAGTTCTTTTCCCTTCTTCCCCATCAAAAGGAGCTTGAAATCACAAGTATGGAGGCAGGAGTGCTGGCTCATGGGGAAAGAACACTATGTGAGCCCCGAGCCAGCATCCACCCTGTGCAACAGCAGCAACAGGAGAGCATAATGAAGCCATTTCCCAGTCTCCCAATCCATACCCTATGGGTAAACTGCATAATAGCCCCAAGTATGATCACATCGTCATCCCCAAAACCTGTGAATGTTACCTTATAGGACAAGAGGGAATCTGCAGGTGTGATTATGAATCTTGAAATGAGATGATTATCCTGAATTACCCATGTGTTCATCTCATACACCTGACATAATCACAACTGTCTTCAAATGAGGGACAAGAGGAATCAAGGTCAGAGGAAGAGATGGAATGACAGAAGCATAGGTTAAAGTGACGCACTTTAGGAGCGTCTAGGTGGCTCAGTCGGTTAAGTGTCTGACTTCAGCTCAGGTCATGATCTCACAGTTTGTGGGTTCGAGCCCCACGCCGGACTCTGTACTGACAGCCGAGCCTGGAGCCTGCTTCGGATTCTGTGTCTCCCTCTCTCTCTGCCCCTCCTCCACTCACACTCTGTGTGTCTCTCTCAAAAATAAATAAATGTGAAAAAAAAATTTTAAGGTGACACACTCTGAACATAGAGGAAGGGCCATGAGCTAAGGAATACAAGGCTTATAGAAGCTCTAAAAAAACAAGGAAACATTCTCCTATAGAGCTTCCAGAAGGAACACTGGCTTTTGGACATGTTAATTTTAGCCTTCTGGCCTCCAGAACTGTAAGAAAATAGATGAATGTTGTTTGAGCCACTGTAGTTTGTGGTCACTTGTTATAACAGCATTAGCAAATGCATACACCCTTCAAGGCTTCTGGTGAATGAGCCCTGCCCTTTTCTAGGAGACAGTTACTGGCCCTGCTGAGGCTGCTTTGGCACAGCATTCCTCCCAGCCAGCTTTGAAACAGGTTGAGTTTAACAGGAGTTGAGAAAAAGGTCACATGTGAATGTGGCATTCACTGTCCGCCCTGTGATGATTTTTCACACTTTGCGTTCCCATGCAGATTTAGGGAGCACTTTAAAAAAGGAAAAACATCTCCATTTGCTTATTTGTGTATTTAACATGCTCTCTGTATATGAGTATTTAAAAAACACATTTATAGTTCTTTTTTAAAGAAACAATAAACCTATTACACAGTAACATTTAACATACTGTTATGAAATATGTATTTTTTAAGTGAAATTACTATTTTTTCCAAAACTAAAACATATAGGGAGGTTGGCTGGCATTGTTTCCTATTTTTATAAATCTCTTTTATGCCTGTCTTAAGAGAAGACAGCTGCAATCTCTTATGTTTCTGTAATTAACTTGTTGCAGTATATTGTATTGGCTTAAATATTGTATATGTGTACTTTTAATGTTTTAAATGCCAAATTTAAGCCAGCTTTCAGTATGTATGTGTACATCCACGTGTGTGTGTGTGTGTTTGTGTGTGTGTGTGTGTATAGGTCCGTGTCTGCCCTTGTGTTTTAAATGCCAAAAAGTCAGCCAGCTGGCTCTGTACCCAAATTCACTATAAATCATTGTGGGTTCCAATCTTACCAAATACTGGCAACTCTAATTGCTTGAAGATAATACAGAGTAAGAAACAGGTGGAAGAGAACGGGTAAAAATGTTATTAAATCCTCAGACACATGGGTCAGGAGATTACAATTAAATCCTCAAACTAAGGGGACGCCTGGGTGGCTCAGTCGGTTAAGCTTCCGTCTCTTGATGTCAGCTCCGATCAGAAGATCCGGGTTCATGAGACAGAACGTGGTGTGGGGCTCTGTGCTATCAACACTGCTTGGGATTCTTTCTCTCCCTCTCTCTGTGCCCCTCCCTCGTTCGCTCTCTCTCAAAATAAATAAACTTTAAAAAAAAGAAACTTAAAAAAAAAATCCTCAAACTGAGAAATACTGACATCTACCAAAAATATGTGCTCTATTTAGCTACTGCAAGAAGCTTTCCTTCAGCACAGGAACTGTGAATGACAAGCATTCTTACATGCTACCAGAACTTTGAAGTCCTATTTTTAAAAATCCTTCAAATACTCAAGAACAATTTTAGCATTAGTATTCCACATGATTATTTTTAAAAGATCACAAGGACAAAAGAATGAATCAAAGAGAAAAAAGTGCAAGACAGCTGAGCTGGAGGGTAAACGTGGAACAGAGGAGAAACTGGGATACTGCCAAGAGAGAGCCCGCCCTCCCCCCGCCCCCAACTGCAGGAGTCCACATGCGCACCAAGACCCTGGACACCAAATTCTCTCACGCAAAGGGTGGGATGTCAACAGAAGACCTAGACACGTGGTCAAACCAACTTCCATTTCTTGAAATCCTCCTTTTCTTTCATTCCTAAAGTGCATCATGGGCTAGCAACTAAGATAACTAAAAAAAGCACCTGAGGGGCACCTGGGTGGCTCAGCAGGTTAAACGTGGGACTTCGGCTCAGGTCATGATCTCGTGGTTCATGAGTTCGAGACCCGTGTCGGGTCTGTACTGACAGCTCAGAGCTTGGAGCCTGCTTCAGATTCTGTGGCTCCATCTCTCTCTGCCCCTCCCCCGCTCGTGCGTGCGCGAGCATGTGTGCGCGCGCTCTCTCTCTCTCTCTCTCTCTCTCTCTCTCTCTCTCAAAAATAAATAAACATAAAAAAAATTTTTTTAAAGACAAAGCACCCAACCCATATTGGGCTATGGCTTCCAATTTCCCAAGAGTGTCCTCTCAGCACCAACTCACCGAGCTGTGGCCCATGCTGGCGGCTGCTGTCAGCGCCTGCTGCAGGGCTTGGCTCTTCCTCAGTGCACCTGGCTGGGGAGGGCCTGCCGACCACTCACAGGTCAGCAGGTACCGGAGAATGTCACCATGGCCCCTCAGTGCGCTGTGCACCAGTGCACACTGGCCTTTCTTATCCAAGTGGTCCACCTGGAGGGCAAGAGAAGGTTATGGTTTAGTATCACATCCCAAATGAAGTGCGCAAACCCAGTATCACTGCAGATGCTTGGTGGGGGTGGGGGTGGGGTGTTCACATTCCAATGCAACTTTCTCTAGCGCACCAAATATCCATCTGAATTACTTCCTTGTAGTGAATCGGCCCTAAGGCCAAGGGAACCCTTTGTAGATCCAGCAAACACAAGGCACCCTCAATTCCTGTCTCTTTAGCAAAGGACTTAAAGCTCCAAGTTCTCTGGGAAACATGTGTGGGGACACAGACCAAAGCCTCAGCCAAAGCTCTGTGCTTCCCAACACTGCTGGTGAGTAGAACACTCTAAATCTGCTGTGACAAGCTAGGATTTGGGGAGAATAAAGCAGTTCTTTAGTCATTGAAATAGGGGAGCCAGCAAAAGGCAGGGATCTGGAAAATCTAGCTATAACCAAGAAAGGGCAGGAAGGGACTCTGAAGGCCTTCTAACTGGGGAAGGAGGCCATGCACAGTCAGGTGACCTAGGACATGTCAGCATGTAAAGTGGGGCCTCAAAGCCAGGAAGGCCAGCTGTACACAAAGTTAGTGTCTAAGGGCTGCTTACCTCTAAAGGTCCAAGCAGCAACAATGGGTCATTCCCTGTCTAACCCCAGGAATACTGGACTGGAAGAGGAGCTCAGGGCCCACCCTCACCTCACTTGCAAATTCTGGTGATACTCTGCACCCTCACCCAGAAGCTTTGCAGGAGACACCTGCATGACACCCAGCCTCCTCCTACAGAGCTTTTAGCGGTGATGGGAGGGGGCCTGCTAGCCTCCACAGAAAGCTAAGCCACCATTTAGATGTAGAAATGAAGGCATGGAGATGTGCACTAATGCACATGCCGGGAAGGCTTAATTGCAACATTCCCTTCTTCCATGAGCTGAAGTCCCTTTACCCCAAATATTGTATTTTTGAGGGAAAAATTAAAAGGCTCTCATAGTTTCTATAAACCTAATTAATGTCTTCCTGTTGAAACTTAAATATCCTAATTAACTATAAAGACAAATACCAGCGATTTATTTCTATTTTTATTCAAAAGCACATCCCCTCTCTCCCAAAGAAATGCTTATAGCAAACCTAAAGAGAGTTTACTGTGAGCTTGGCACTGTTCTCATTTAATCTCTCAACATTAATGGTCCTAGAGTAACTTGTTTAATAATATAGTTACATTTATTTAATGCTCAGACAACAGACCTGTGGTAGATACTGTTGTCATAATTATTTTACAGATGAGAAGCCTGAGGCACACAGACTGGACAGTGTGCCCAGCATCCTAGCTGGCAGGTGGAGAAATGAGGATTGTGGGCTGTCCAGCTCCTGCAGCCATATGCTCAAGTACATGGCTTCTAAGACCCATGGAACTCATTTTATTGTTAAAAAAAAAAAAAAAAGACATGAAATGAAATAGGATAGGCAGAAAAGAGGCAAAAAACACTCCTAAAATCTTTTAAACCAATCTAGTGCTCTGTTAAAATCTGTGATTGATGGAGTTCTAGGTCACCATTTCCAGGCTTTTGAAAGGATGACCTCTACTCACGCTGCTGTTGGCCTAGGGTCTCCTTGGTGTCCTGCCTCCCCATGGGTAGTATTAAGGAGAGTTAAGAGCTTATGAGCAAAACACATGACGCCTCCTCTCCAAGGCCGCACACCTGACCACCAACATCAGGCACCATCACGCCCTGACTGAAGCAGGCAGCTCACTCTTTCTGTTTAGGTGGCGATTTCTATTAGTTGCAATTCGACAAAGCAGAGACAAAAGGGAGGCTGGCCCAGCTGATGACAATTCTAACAAGGCTATGAAGACATCCTCCCCCTCTCCCCACTGGGGAATGCTACCAGCTTACCCTCGCCCCCTTCTTGGCCAGCAGACAGACCAGCTTCATATGGCCAGCTGCTGCAGCATAGCAGAGGGCGGTCATGCCATTCTCTGACATTCCCTCCAGGCAGGCGCCAAATTCCAGGAGCAGAGTGACCACTTCCTCATGGCCAAGGTGAGACTGGACGCACAGGATTGGGGCATTATTTAACACTTCTGTTCTGTAGTTCACGTTGGCCCCTCCCAAAATCAGGAGACGGCTGACCTGTTGAATAATATCCCCCAACAAGATGAATTCTCACATAAACGTCAGTCACAACAGCATTTGTGGAGATGGGCAGTATCCTCATTCTAATCCAGGAGTTCCAAAACTAGAGTGTGCAACAGTACTATCTGCGAATGCACTGAAAATGCACATTCTTCATAGTGGAAAACTAAAAGGGCAGCTGCTTGGAAAACAGTGTGGAGGTTCTTCAAGATCTAGCAATCCCATTTCTGGGAATATATCCAATGGAAATGAAATCAGGATCTCGAAGAGACACCTGCACCCCCATGTTCACTGCAGCACTATTCACAATACCCAAAAGATGGAAACAAACTAAAATGTCTCTCAACCCATGAATAGAGAAGCAGAAGCGGTATGCACATATACAATGGAGTATTATCCAGCCTTTAAAAGGGAGGAAATCCTGTCACATGCTGCAACATGGATGAGCCTTGAGGACATTAAGCTAAATTAAAAAAGCCAGTCACAAAAAGACAAATGTATGATACCCCTTACATGAGGTACATAGAGAAGTGAAATTCAGAGAGACAAGTGGAATCGTGGTACCAGAGGATGAGGGGAGGTGAAAAGTTTTCTTTAACGAGGGTAGTGTTTTAGTTTTATGAGAGGAAAAAGTTCTGGAGAGCTATTGAACAATAATGTGAATATATTTAATGCTACTGAATTCCGCACTTAAAAATAGTTAAGATGGGGGCATCTGGGTGGCGCAGTCGGTTAAGCGTCCGACTTCAGCCAGGTCACGATCTCACGGTCCGTGAGTTCGAGCCCCGCGTCAGGCTCTGGGCTGATGGCTCAGAGCCTGGAGCCTGTTTCCGATTCTGTGTCTCCCTCTCTCTCTGCCCCTCCCCCGTTCATGCTCTGTCTCTCTCTGTCCCAAAAATAAATAAACGTTGAAAAAAAAAAATTAAAAAAAAAAAATAGTTAAGATGATAGGTGGCTGGTTGGCTTAGTCAGTTAAGCATCCGACTTTGGCTCAGGTCATGATCTCATGGTCCGTGAGTTCGAGCCCCCGCGCATTGGGCTCTGTGCTGACAGCTTAGAGCCTGGAGCCTGCTTCAGATTCCGTGTCTCTGTCTCTTTGCCCCTCCCCTACTCGCACTCTCTCTCTCAAAAATAAATAAATAAATGTTAAGAAATTTTTTAAAATAGTTAAGATGGTCAATTTTATGTTTTTTTTTTAAACCAAAATTAAAAATTTTAAACACCCTGAAAAAAAACCTTAAAATGCACATTCTCCGGCTCCACTTTCAGATTTCTGATTCAGCAGGTCTGGAGTGAGGCCTGAGACTGCTTTTTAATAGTTCCCTGATGATACGGATACTGTTGGTCAGTGGACCACACTTTGAAAAATCACTGTTCAAATAAAAATAGAAAATTCATTTTTTATGGCAATGAAATAATCACGGGATTGAATAATTAACAGTGAGCTAACAAAGACAAAAGTAAATGCAAATACTCTTTTTTTTACAGGACACGTTCCTACAAGAAAAAGTAGAACACGTTAAAATGTTCCTGTGCCTCTGGGATTGTCAGCAGCACAAGACTCCCAGAAAATAATCTGTTTTTTCTACTGATTACCACATCCACCAACCACTAAACTTGCTGTGTGATTTTCAGAAAATTACTCAGTCTCTCTGTGCTTCAGGTACCTCCTAAGACAACCCAGCGGAATGCCATCCCATGCTACCCAATAGGTACTCTTGGTTAACAACGTTGGAAGGTGCGCTTTTAGTACTTCCTTGCCGACCACCTTACAAGACTTTACCTGGAAGGTATGTGCTTAGAGGCAGAACTTTCCTAAAGATGTCTGTCGTTAATTAATACTTCGTCTGCTTCTTGGAAAAAAAACATTTCCTTTGTCGGTGTAATGCTGCTGGTATTTTTACCACTTAACCCCCAATCGGTTTGTGGCTCTTCCCCCAGCCCACAGTTCTTAACCCTGCTGCACACTGAAACCACCTGGGAGCTTGAAAGTTTCCAGTGCTGGAGCCCCACCCTTGGAGATTCTGACTTGGCCATGGTACCAAAAGCTCCCAAGTGACTGCCGTTGGCAGCCAGGGCTGTAAACACATCAGGTGATAAATGCAGCTACAAAGCATGGGCTTGCTCGGAGCCAGGGACCCTCCGCCTGTGTGATTTGGGGCACGCTCCAACTGCCCTCGGCCTCAGTTCCCTCATCTGAAAAATGGAGATAACAGTTTCACTTCACTGAGCTGTTGTGAAGATTAAAAATGAACATGCCACACACACATACATACAGCACTTAGCACAGCCCTCAGCATCTCGTAAGTGCTAAATAAATATTGCCATGGTCACAGTCATCTTTTGTAAAATCTTCAGAAGGGACAAGACCCCAGGCCCCTGACAAGCACAGTAGGGAGCTCTGCCCCGGTGTCTGGCAACCCAGGTCTCCCTACCACCTTCCCCTCCTCTGCTATCACTAGCACAGAGCAGCAGGGAGATCTCCCACTTATTTGAGGGGAGACATAGGCAGCTCCTGTTAACAGCCACCAAACGGCACATCCAGAAGTTCTCAGGTACCTACAGCAAAGTCTCAGCTCCCTGAAAGTAGGTAAAACCTAGTAAGAACAACTCCCTTGACCGTTGTGAAAAAGAAAACCACAAGCCCAAAATGGTGTTACTTGGGCCAGGCCCGGTCACCAAACTGGGGCTTTTAATACCTAACCTGACTGCAGTTGCAACCTCTTCCAAAAATAAGTCTTTGTCAATAGGGAATTTTCTGGTCAGCACCAAAGAGGTAATTTGTCACAGGGCCCTTCTCTACCCACCAAAAGAGAATGTGCATAGTAAGACCCTCTGCCCTTTCCCCTCAGGGAGGGTGATCTTGTCTGGAATAATCCTTTCCTTACTTCTGCTTATAACTTTCTTGCCCCACCCTCCTTCCTATAAAGAGCTTCCATTTTTGGGGTGCCTTGGTGGCTCAGTCAGTTAAGCATCCCACTCTTGATTTCGGCTCAGGTCATGATCTCACGGTTCCGGAGTTCGAGCCAGCCCTGTGTGGGGCTCTGCGCTGGCAATGTGGAGCATGTCTGGGATTCTCTCTCTCTCTCTGCCCCTCCCCATCCCCTCAAAATAATAAGCTTAAAAAAAGACAAAAAAAAAAAACCCTTCCATTTTGTACAACTCCTGAGGGTGCCCCTCTACTTGCTAGGGGGGATGGTGCCCAATTCATGAATCCCTTAATAAAGCCAATTAGATCTTCAAACTTACTCTGCTGAATTTTGTTTTTTAATACCATGCAGAAGATGCCAAGTGTTTTTCCAAAAGTGTTAACATCTCAATGAGGTTTCTGATCACTCTAGGAGACAGGCTCTTTTGTGACCTCCATTTGGCAGGTGAGAAAACAGAAGCTCAGAGGGATAAAGCACAGATTAGCTCTGGGCACAAAGCTAATTACTGTCACAGCCCAGCGGCTAAGCAGCTCTAGCTAACATTGCTCTGCCTTCAAGGAAGGGGTTAATGGTTCATCCCGTACATTTATTCCTAACCACATGGAAATTTCCTGATTATCACCACCGCATAAGCTCTCCCTGGATAACATTTGGAAATGGCAAAGTTATCTATAAACTTCTGGGTTTAATGAATGCAAGAAAATTTTAAAAAGGGGGTCCAGGGAGCCAGGCGAAGCAATGTAATCACGAGAACAGAAGCGACACTGGAGTCTCAGTTTTCCAAGCATAATGGAGGTTCATAGCAACACAACCGTTTCAAATGTGTATCGCCTATCATGTAGAATATGACCGGATCCTTTCCACCAAGGGAAGTCAGGCCAAAGTCCACGCCTAGTTCCTGTCTTCTCCCCTCCCTGCCTTTGGCTGAGAGAAAAATTCTCCCGAGTCCACAGCCTTGGGAAGGACGCCCACGGCCGGCATGCACTCCGATGGTACAGTGTGAACAAAACAACCCGCTGGGTGGGAGCCTAGAGGCACTGGCAGCAAAGACCCTAGTGGGCCGGCATGACCCTGGCCTGGTGAGGGGAGACGACAGTGTTAGAAATCACTGGCGCGCCAGTAAAATTAAAATTCATCTACCAAAGTCATCATTCTGGAGCAAGTCACTTTAATTTACCAAAGTGGCAAACTGCAATTGCTCAAAATGACATTCATTCCTGTATGACAACATTTAATACTCTCTAAAAAAAGTTCCCTAATTGCATGCATAATTTTAAATTACTGTAATTTGTTCAAGATTCTGTGAAAACCTTTTTTTTTTCTTGAAAGATAAAAGAAACAGAAGGATAATGGAACGCCTTAAAATTCTATAACCAAGTTATAGAATTTTGAGCACAGTGTAGAAGCAGATGACACTGAGGTTCTATAAAACAAAGTAAAGACAAATAACTCTTAGAATTGAAAGTATGTTAAAAGTAAAGTCTATGATCTCAGGAGGGTCAAGCTCATTACATTCTTATGCTGTACCTTTTAATTTACTGTCTTAAAAACACCTGTATTTAAAAACCCTGTATTTGACAGGGTTTCCATTTACTTTCCTCCACTTTAAAAGAGGAACTTCTGGGCCCATAATGCACTAGTGAAAACAGATATTGCTGCATTTTTATTTCTTTCTTCCTCATCATTATAGAATTTTATTAATTGTGGAGAATTCAAAAGATATACTTTTAGCTGAGAGGAAAGATGAAACCATGTTATTGTAGTAACCTCAACTCTCATTTCTATAAAATCTAAGTAAAACAAAAACTCTTAATATGACTTCCACTATGATCATCCCTGTGATCAGTAGGAGAAGTTCTCCTTAACTACTAAAACCAGCTTCTCTGTAAAACATGCATGTGGGTTCAGCCTGGACACAGCACTCACACCGAAAAGTCTGGAAACTGGGAAGTGGGACAAAGCACAGGGTTCTTAGGAGTGGCTCTCCACTGCTGCTTTGCTGCGAGGTGCCCCGCCAAGAGGGGAGTCAGGCTGAAATCCATTAAGCCTAGGACCCTAACAGTGGGCTGAGTCTGCCCGCAGAAGGCTGTGCTTTTATCCTTGCAAAAACCCCGTCTGCATCCATGGGGGAGCAGTGGCCTTTCTCCAACCAGCACCGAGGTCCTGCATGGAGCACCAGGGCTCTAGGGGACCTGCTCCAGAGTCGGGGGACTCCCATATCCTTTATGACATAGGGGCTCCTCTGTGTGCTCATTCTACCCTCTCTACCAGGAAGCCAGAGGAGAGAGAAAGGAAGCAGAACTATGTCTACCAAGGAAGCGCTCTGCAAGGTCCACACTCCCAGACACACAGCTGAATGGCAGGTGCTGAGGATGGGGTGTGCACACAGTGGGGGAGAAAAGGTGCAGGAGTCCCCCAAGGGCACTCTTTCCAGGTGGGTCTGATGAACTGAAGTGAGGAATAGGGAAGAGAGATGCCCAGAAACCTCCAGGGCTTCGAAAGTCCTTCCCTGTATGACCACTTGCTTATACTCACCCTTGATGCTGCTGAGCAGGCAACAGGTATGATTGTGTTCATGGAGGTGTTGGAAGGGGAGGACCTGGCTCCTTGGGAAACTGCCTCAGAGGTTCTGTATGCAGCAGGGCACGTCAGGGCCTGGGGCTGAAAGGCCTGGAGTCCAGCTGACATATCGAGTGGAAGACACTTGTGATCTTTTTACTACATTGCATTGGACAGGATGGTTGTATGCTGCTGGAACATAAACCAGTAATTCCCACAATCTTTGTGGGAATTAACCCTCCTGTGTTGCCTTAAAAGACACTTGGCCTTCATGTGTTTTAGATTCTCAGACTTGCTTAAAGGAGGAAGGAAAATTGACTCTAAAAAGCACAGCAGTGCACTGGGACATGACAGCCACTGATCAGGAGGGAAGAAGCTCCCGGCCCAGTAGCAGGTCGACCCCCCTACACTTTCCACAGTCATAAATGCACACACACACGCAACCTTTAGGTAACACATTTTCTCTGTGCAACCATCGCTTTGTTGTCACTCATCAATGCTTAATTTCCTATGAACCATAAAGAGATAGTCCAGATTAGAGACCCAGGACAGTTTAAAAATCAATTTCCCCTAGAAATCTCCCTTTGACCTTTGGTTTCCTCTGTGAATTGCTTCCTTATCACATCCTCTCTTAGACAGTCCCCACGTGCTCACATGGCAGCCCACGTTTCCCTGCCCAGGAAAAAGCTAAACTTCTACAAGAAAACCAGTAATAGGGCATTCAAGCCTGTGCGATTTATATCGGGGGGAAAAGCATCATTAGAGGCTCCACCAGCTCCTGTGGCTGCCACATGGTACAGGGGACAGCAGGGCTGCTGGAGGAAAGGTGGTGGGGGCTGGGGCCCCAGCTTTCCGGACACAGGGTCACTCACCTTCACATTGGGGGTGTAGAGATTCCTGAGAGAGGCCAGGGCGGCAGAGAGGCCCTCGGTGCTGTACCCGATCCACAGGGCTTGGAGGTGGCTTGAGGAGATTCCTGTCTTCTTACTGAGGCCCTGGAAGCAATCAGAGACAAGCGGGCCTCATCCTCTCCTTTCCCAGCAGCGTCAGGCTGAAAGGGGTAGGCCTGGGAGGGTGCAGACCTGCACTAATTCAGGGAAATGCCGAGGCACAGAGAACGCTGGACATGTAAGCCGTCCTTCCCACCCTAAAATCAAGAATCAAGGAACTAGCCCACCCTTGCTACATACATGATGCCTGAGGAAAGACATGGCAATGAAGACCAAGTTTCTTCTTATAGAAGTTCTCCAGGGGTGCCTGGGTGGTTCAGTCGGTTAAGCAGCCGACTTCGGCTCAGGTCATGATCTCACGGTCCATGAGTTCGAGCCCCGCGTCAGGCTCTGTGCTGACAGCTCAGAGCCTGGAGCCTGTTTCGGATTCTGTGTCTCCCTCTGTCTGACCCTCCCCTGTTCATGCTCTGTCTCTCCCTGTCTCAAAAATAAATAAAACGTTAAAAAAAATTAAAAAAAAAAAAAAAAGTTCTCCAGTCAAAGGAAGAATAAAATTTGGAATATCACCATCCTGTAACCCTTAATGCAGAGTCCAGGCAAACATCAGTAGTGACTGATAATACCCCACTAAGAGAAGCTAACATGAATTCCTTACCTCCTGATGGAAGAAAAACCCTACAGACATATAAAGAGTTTAAACTCTAAGTAGAACTCTAAAGTAATTGTGACACCCTGCAAAAACAAAACAAAACAAAAACAAGCAACAACCAAACCCGAACCTGATTAAGCCTCTACATACAACTAGCAAATGACACGGGACGCCTGGGTGGCTCAGTTGGTTAAGCATCAACTCTTGATTTCAGCTCAGGTCATGATCTCGAGGTTCACAGAGCCTGCTTGGGATTCTCTCTCTCCCTCTCTCTCTGCCCCTCCCCAACCTGCACTCACTCTCACTCTCTCTCTCTCTCTCAAAAGAAATAAACTTCAAAACAAACAACTAGCAAATGACAGGAAATCCAGAGGAAAGAGAACCATGTTAAACTAGACCATGAAAAATAAGACCGCGATCAGAAAATCCAGGCTGTATGAAACTACACAGGTCACATAGCTCACGTTCTTCAGCAACTAAATAACCGAGAAACAAAAGGGAACGAAAGAAATGGAAACTTTAGGTGAAGAGGAACTTTTTAAAATAGATGTTAAGGGGGAAAAAATGGGGCTCATGGAAGGCTCTGAGAGGGTTGATAAAGCTGTTGAAAATCTCCAAAACCAAACACTCAAAATGACAACAAAATTCTTCAAGGTGGCGCGTCTCACCTTGAAAATGTGTGCCTTCAGGATGTGATGGCCAAGCTCCATGGTTTGCTGGCGATTCAGCTTGCCCTCTTGTCGAGAGAACATGAATGCCAGGAGAGCGTGCCCATTCCTGGAACAAGAAACACAAAGCTTAGGAACAAAAGACTCCATTCCACGAACTGTAGGCTCTCAGGTGTGAACATCTCCACACAACTCTGGACTATTCTCCTGGTGCTTCAGCATCGCCAAACAAAATGGGTCAAAAGTTGCCTCTTTACAAAAATGGTCAATGCTATTTATTCTTCAAGTCATTTTAGGGCTTTCTCTGGATTCCCCTATCTCTGTGGAGTGACCCAGAAAGAAGCTCTAGGACAAGGCAGGTCTTTACCTTTGGAACCATCCACTCTCTGTCCCTCATCCATCATTCTTCACCTTGTTTATTTATTTAGGTCTGTCACAAAAATGTCAATTCCATGGGATTAAGGGTCTTGCCTATGGCACATCAATAGGCATAATACCTAGCAAATGCCTAGCCCTTAGCAACCACTCAAATATGTATTTCTTGTATGGATGGATGAACAGAGGGACAGGTGGAGCAGAACCATCACTGGACCTGGCATTCAGGTCTCCCCCCCTCAGTGTAATCACCACTGGGAGTAGACCTGGCCAAAGGATAAGACCTGACAAAGAGAACAAAACAAAAACCAAGCCATGCAAAGCAACAGCACATACTCAGAAATACCTAGAATTCTAGGCTTGGATGGAACACAGTTCGTTACTGGGTGGAGAAAACTAAGATGTACAAGCAGACTTGCTGTGTCTGGGCACATGGTGGACATTCAGCTGACACCACCAATTAACCCCTCACTAACCCTTTCATGAAAAAGCCATCCTACCCATCACCCTCTCCACATCTGCAAGACTCATTCCGTCTCCTGTGGGATCCATGCCTCTGTCTGAGCCAATTTGTTTGGGAAAGATGTTAGGGGCTGCTTATTCCAACAGCAATGACTTCTGTACAATGTGAATTATTTTCATTTCTATCAATCTGACAACTCCGAGGTGCTGGATTTTTTGTTTTGTTTTGTTTTGTTTTGTTTTGTTTTGTTTTGTTTTGTTTTGTTTTGTTCTGGAGGGAAAGCAGGTAATGGTGGAGAAAAGGAAGCATTATGGGAAAAAAATGCATTCTCCCCAATGTTTTCTGGGAGTTACTAATCTAGATGAGTAAAATCATGCATCATTTAAATAGTGTTTAGCTATCCAACTGCCTGCCTGTTTTTCAAATAGGTTATAAACTATGTTAGAGATGAAAAAAATCAAGGCAAGTAGAGACCAAGAGATTGCTTTTTATACTTCAGGGGAAGGCATGACTTAAAAACATGCTGACACTGAGTGCCTTGTCCAACATCTCGTAAGGGATTAGAGCTCTTCCACAAGCACACAGTCTGTACTTCTTTGCACACATTCCACCTGCCACACCTCAAGCTTGGGTTTTCCCTCTCAGATGAGATTCTCCTATGTTCCCACCCTTCCTGCTCCCTCCCACCTACCAGTGGTCCAGGCTCTATATCCTCCCTAGTTCCCTAGTCCCTAGCCATGGGCAGGTCCCAGGGTTCAACCTGGCTCACATCTCCCAGCCATAGCCTAAGCCATCCTTAGTCTCCCAGTCTGCTGAACTCAATGGCCACACCAACTGTGTCCACCACAAAGACATACTAGGCTAAGTACCATGGCTACACCCCTAATGGGGAAATGATCATGCATCCTTCAGTGGCTTCTAGTGATCTCAGCTAAGCACGTGGCCTCCTGCCTAAGGAGACAATTCATGTAATCACTAGATAGCTGTGTTCCATTCCTCTATATCCCATTTACTTTTCTTCCCTTCCTCCTAGATCCTGCAGTGCTTTCTAAGGCTACCTGCACTTATAATTCTGTTCATTATATACCAGATGCAGAAACTTAGCTAATTGTTTCACTAAACCATACAATCCCGCAAACCACTAAACAGTTTGTTTACATGAGGAAACAGAGGCCTGGACAGGTCAAATGATTTGCCCAAAAGATCAAATAGCTGGTGAACTGAGAAGAGATTTGAACTGCAGTCTACCTAATGCAAGCACCTTTATGCTCTTTATCAGTGCACCATGATTTCTCATTCATTCACTCATTAACATCCACCTTGTAACTAGCACCATGCTTGATATGGAGGATTCCACAGGGAACAATGTGAGGTGCTTCCCTGGAGGAGCTCTCAGCTACCAGAGGACTATAAACAACATTCATCAGAATGGTGCCATGAATCACCTCAATGGGAATACAGAGGAGACAAGTTGCCTGTGCTCCCCGCCCCTATCCCCTTGCATTTCCATTAGGTTTCCCCACATTATCCCACACCTTTCCAACAACACCTCCAACTCCTGTGTTAAAACAACAACAACAAAAAACACCCTTTCCCCACAAACAAACCCAAACCTCTCCACCCTTACACTTCTTATCCCAGAATTTTGGTGCTCTCCTCTTCCATCCCTCACAGCTGGATGGAAGGAATCTCTAAGAATGTGGGACCTTCCTCCTCCACTGGGAAGCCAAACTCCCTCTTAGTTATCATCTTCCTTCACCTCTCAGCAGCTCTTGCACCCCAACCTCCTTCCTGGAATTCTGCTCCATACCCCAGAAGTCAGAGCTCCCTTTCTGCTAACTACACTCCCTCATCAGACCCCTCCACCACTTCTCCATGAATGATGCCACATCTTCACCTCCAACTTCCCCACCATCAGACTTCCCTCCCACTTGAACAGGCAGTTCTGCCAACCCCACCAGCTCAAGCTGCTATAAGCAAAAGGCATCTCATGTCCTGCAACACGTGCTCCACACCTCCTGCTTTTCTTACCCTTCCTAAGAACAGTGCCACTCCTAGCTTCTGTGGCTTAACACCCTGATGTCCTCTACAGCTCCCCCTTCTCCTTGACTTTGCTTATAAGGCCAAGCTGTACCCACCCATCTCATGTTAGCAGAGCCAGTCTCTACCCCTCTGCATCCCGAAGCCAGGTCCACCAAGTCCCTGCTGCTGTCACACAGGTTCTCATGGTCCAAACCTCCACACTCCTGCCAATGTAGGTAGTCTGCACTTTTGCCCTGCTCAATTGAGGGCTCTCCAGAGATGACTGATTAAAGTCTATTCTCCCTAGCACATCCTTCTGTTAAGTCTTCTATCCCATGACAAAAGCTCCAGCCAAACTAGGTTTGTTGTTGCCAAAACACAACCTGCCATTTGACATGATGACTTGGACAGCTCCTTCTGTCTGCAATAGCCTCTTTTCCACCTACTAAAATCCTATCTGTTCATTCCTCAAGTCCATGACATGACAGCAGACAGGAGGTTGCTCAAGATTTTAAAACTCCTGATGCAACCCTAATGAACTGATGGATCCGGGAAATAATCATCAGGCCTCCGAGAGACATTAAGACATTGTGTGCCTCCTGATGGAAGCAGACCTACTATCTATTAAGTATCCTTGCAAAAAATATTTTAAGATAAAATCTGACCAATTTCAGGAAATAGAGGTGATAAACACAGTAAATACCATGAGAATGCAATCAGCAAAATTCAGATTATGGGAAACCATATAGGACAAATTACTCAGTTGTTCTTTTTAAACAAATAAAATGCAAGGACAAAGCAGAAACAGAAGGAGAAGCAAATCTATAGATTAAAAGAGGCACTGTAAAACGCATTTTCATGATCTTATCTGGATCCTGATTCAAACATACTAGAAAAATATGAAGGAAGTAAAGAAATTTGGTCACAGCTAAATGTGTGATAATACTGATAAATTAGTCTTAACATTTTAGGTGTGGCAATGGTGTTGTGGTTAAGTGTGAAAATGTCTTTTTGAGGTACATAATCAGTTACTTGGTAAAATGTCATGGTATCTACAACTTGTTATCAGCAAAAGATGACAGATGTAGTAAATATTGCAAAATATGAATTATGTTTCAGTCTAGGTGATGTGCATGAAGACTTTAAGCAACTTACTCATCTTTTTAATTCTGCTCCTGTAATTCTAACATAAGGAATAATGAAAACAAAGAAGAAAATTCTATTCCTTTCCTGAAAAGCACCAAGACATGCACAATAGGTTGCTTTATTTATAAATAACCCAGAAACAACTGCAAGGCACCACAGTAAGGGTAAATAAAGTACATCATTATTCGCCTACTAGGAGGTTTGCACACCCATGAAAAATGATACTTTGCTAAGATTTCCAAACTGCTTGCTAAGCTATCCATGATGTGTAAGCAAAAAAAAAAAAAAAAAAAAAAAAAAAAAAAAAAAAAAAAAAAAAAAAAAAAAAAAAAAAAAAAGCAGGATAGGGATTTTAATATAGAAAAAATGATATGGAGAATGTTTAAAATGCATGGAAAGAGACAGAAATAAAAAGTGAGATGTCATTGACTCTGGGTATTGGGTTCTTTTTGCTGCTTCTCCCTAATTAGGGCAAAATTACAACTAACTACGGTGGGAAGAGAAATGCTACCCATCTTTCAAGGCCCAGCCCAAATGTCCTCATGTATGTGAAACACTTTCCAAAAACGGTCTTCCCTAGCTGGAAGCCTCCCTTTTAAAGTCCACGTGCAGTGCTTTCTTCCCACATGGTCACTTCCTCCCTCACTTGCCCCCTTGTGTGGGAAGCCCTTGAGAGCTGGGCCCTTATCCCAGGACTCTCTGAATCTGCCACAGTACCCTGCATGTGGTGGGCCCGCAGAGACTTCTGCTGAAATGCATCCAGTAGTGTCCTTTCACCAGCCTTGTCTGCTGAATGAAATTCCAGGACTAAAGGGGTCTTGGGTAGATGCTGATGTGCACAATGCCAAATAGGAACTCCTTATACTTTGCACCCTGGATGTCTCTCTTGTCCTGGTCCAGTCCTGGTCCTACCCTGGGTAATTCCCCACACATGCTTCTTGGAACACATCAGCACTCAGGAGCCCAACATTTCAGGTACACGTCTGCTAGTCACTGCACAGTGAGCTCTGCTCCAGGCTGCATTACCTCAGTGCTGCCCACCACCCAAAGCAGAGCGAGGCTTTACAGTGACTACAGTTCAACTTCCTCTGCTTCAAACCCTAGTGACAAATCTACATCCCCTGTTGAAGTTTCTCAACTTGTTTTTATGTTTCTACAAACTCGACTGTAGCCTATCTTCCTAGAAAATGATCCAACTTGGCTAAGTATGTCAAATATATGGTACACATATCACCTTGTTATTTACAGTCTCGCTAAATAACCTGGGAGTTACAGTTTGTTGCCTCAAACCAGACTCAAAAGAACACACTTTTAGCCTGGTGTTACCTCAGAAAACAACAGTACCCCCAACATGAAACAGCCAGACTCCCATCTGGTCAATGTCAAATCAGTACTCATGGGGAAGAAGGTGGTGCAGCTTACAAATGCTTATTTCACATCTTCATTCCTGGACCCCAGCATCTGGTCACCTGGCCAGTGCAGCTCATAGGGAACAGTTTAGCAGCTTGCTGGACCTGGTACCGAGTCGGGGGCAATTATGACTCACAGACAGCAGAAACAATTCAAGACAACAGTGAGGCAGGCCAAGGCCAGGGCCAGGCAGAAGTAGTAGACAAGAACCCACCCTTATATAAGGAAACAAAAGCATCTGCACCCTCAAATTCCCTGACCTCTCACTCTGACTAGCATGAGGCCACATGAGAGTCAGGCTTACCACCTTCCCTCCCCTGAGAAGTGCAGAGAGCGGAGTCTTGGCCCCACCCTGCTGAGACTCCTCAGTGGAACCTTCCACTCCCTAGATGCAGCTGCCGCAGGACCATCTCATAAATGGGGCATCTGAGGTCTGAATCTGAATCCTGCTGACCCCAAGCCTGTTACACTGCACTGAAGCACAAATGCAAATAATCACAACCAGCTGTGATCACTGTGCTCCATTTGGGGCCTGCAGGCAGATCTGATCCCTGGGACAAGATGCTATATGCCCAAGAGGGGCAGCAGTGATGCTAGGGGTCCAAGACAGTGCACAGACTCAAGGTGAGGAAGCTGAGCTGAGAGTGGCTTCTGGAGAAGCCCACTGTTCCCTGGAACATGTACCACACTGTGACTCCCATAAAGGGGACCAAGGTCTAGAAGAGAAAGGACAGCGAAGAAAGGTCACCAGGCATTGCTCAGCTTCTCTCTCACTGGAGGTACTCGCATACAAATTTCTAGCAATTAAAGGATGGAAGTTTTTGTTTAGCAGCAAGGTTTTCCACGGCCCTCCTGAATTGTTCATCATGTGTTGCCTTTCCATTGAGAAGGGTGAACTGGAGAGGAGGGGAAAAAAGGGTGAATTGTGTTTGCAACCCCTTCTCCAATCGCACATTAGACTCCCTGCAAACAGCAGACAGGAAGCGGCCTGCCATACCTGGGCTCGCATAGGAAGGCCGTGTTTTCACCATCTGCTCTCCAAACGAGCCACTCCCGGAAGGACGGGTGGCAGAACATGCGGGTTTTGTCTCGCCTCTTAATGAGGAAGCAGGAGAGAGCATCCATCCTCTGCTGGAAGTCCTCCCATCCCTGCTCCCCTTGTACGTGGCCCGCGTTAATGGCCTGAAAGATCTGCTCATCCGTCATGGGGTGGAGGGATGCGAGGGCCACGTTTAGAATCGGAAGTGCTCTCTCGAAGGCGGACTGGGTCATGAACTTCATGTTGCACTGCAGCAGATAGAGCTCAGACAGAGACACGGGGACCACCTTGTAGCTGGCACTTTTGATGACCAAATGTCCCCTCTGGAAGAGGTCCAAGGTGAGTTTGAGGTACAGGTAGGAGCCGAGGCTCCGCAGCACCAGGTGGCTGCTCACTTTCCCAATAAGGGCGGCGTCGGCCTTGCCGTTCAGGGAGATGTTGCTGAGGATGTCCTGGCTGCTGTGGACCCTGTGCTGGACGTAGGCATGCAGGTCACTGTGAATGTCTTTGTTGTCCGGAAAGTCATCTAAGGAAAGCTTGACGAATGGCAGCGTGCTCACAATTTCCTGTGGAAAAAAAAAAAAACGCCAAAAACCCACAGTGTCAGTCCACAGAGATTTCTTTTTTATGTCAGCTGCATTTCAAACTAGATTCACTAGTTTTCTTTCAAGGAGGATTTTCATGGATTACAGGGACTCATTGTTTTGTATTAAAACATGTAATAGGATAAGTTGAAGATAAAAAGCTTATGTGAAAGAAATCCTGATGCGAGATCGAATCAGTAATGGCTTTCCCGAGGCCCTCATCTGAAGACTCAGAAACGAGCAAGATGTAAGAGCTCCGGGCAGACAATGGCAAGCTGGCCATTCCAGCACAGGGGCAGTGAGACCCTGAGGTGACCCAATACTCATAATCCTTACATTGTGCAGAGGTTACATAACAAGGACAGACACAAACCAGCACTGTGTATCTAAGAACACGGCCAGACACCGAGATAAGAGGCATCCCTCTCTGTGCATCAGATATTGGGACTGTATAACCGAGCCAGGAAATCTGAAACGGCCCCTGCCCCCCGGCAGGCTATACCGCAGCCGCAGCATGCCTTAATGAAGGTGCCGTACTTCAGGATAGCCTGCTAGCATTTTTTTTTAACTGTTGTTCATTCCAAGTAAACTTTTAAGTTCAAGTATAACATACAAACCATAATTGCACAACGTCATTAATTTTTACAAAGTTAAATACATCTGTGTAACCAGCAGCGAGAAACAACGTCACCAGCTCTCGGAAGCCCTGTGTCCCTTTCCATCCCACCCCCATCCGAAAGATAAGCACTCTCCTCACACCTAACAGCAGAGAGGAGTTTTTGGTTTTTTCTTTAAGCTAACCACTATCTGGGGCGCCTGGGTGGCTCAGTCGGTTGAGTGTCCGACTTCGGCTCAGGTCATGATCTCGCGGTCTGTGGGTTCAAGCCCCGCGTCGGGCTCTGGGCTGACAGCTCAGAGCCTGGGGCCTGCTTCATATTCTGGGTCTCCCTCTCTCTCTCTCTGCCCTCTCCCACTCATGCTGTCTCTCTCTGTCTCTCAAAAATAAACAAACACTAAAAACAATTAAAAAAAAATAAACTAACCACTATCGTTTCTGAAGAATTTGACCCATGTCCTCACTGAATATAATAATTGCAGGGGGCAGGCTGAGTATAATCACTCCCATTTTACATGGATGGTAACCAAACCCTGTGAAAATTTAAACAGCTAGTACAGAAAATATAGGACTCCTGTTCCTTTGCTCTATCGATTACCAAATTCCGCTTACTGTGTGATAAATGACTGCAAAGGGTATAAATCAAATGGCCATAAAAACAAATGTCAAGTGAGGCTAGGCCTAATGCCACTTTTAATGAGAAAAGAAAAGAACCCAAATGCTATTTTTAAGTAGACATCACAAAAGGGCAAAAATCAAAATCTAAGAGTAATGTCTTTACTAAAAAAGGACAGGGGTAGAGGGAAGAAGTCAAAGGTTGGTAAGATATAATTTGGGTTCAAATGAGGGGAAAGATGAGGAAAAGAATTAAAAAAAAAAAGCACTTCATTTTGCTATAAGTGGAATCTTATGTTGAAGTTTTATGAAAAAATAGACCTTATTTCAGAATTGGCCTTAAAAATCTTTTCTTCCTTGAAAGAAAGGAAGAAAGAAAGAAACAACAAAACAGAGAAGGAAGGAAAGAAAATAAAAGAAACAAAGTCCCACTGCAATTCCACACAAATTACTACAGGAATAACTTTAAACTCCAGTAGATAAATTGAGTTACTTCCAGGGCTGGACTCTTGTATTTTGGAAGTGCAGGGACAGTGCAGTGCTAAGAGGAGACTTTCCTGACATCTTGATTCATGGAAGGTAAAAAGGTCAGAGTTTCACTCATTTGGGGCTTTGTGGACTAAATATTTCAAAGTCCTAATGTAGTTTTCAATTAAGCAGCTAAACGCTTTTTAACAGTTTATGTTGTTAATCACTATAAATTCTGGGTATGAGGTCTTGGAAAGAGACTGGAGAATTCTTTCTCACCTGAAAATTTGCTCTTACAGTCACAATCAGCTTCAACCAGGCAGGAAACTTAGAAATAATTTTGGTAATAAATGAAGAAAGCGTATCTCCATAATCAGGCTTATGAAACTCCGCTTCATTTAAGCCATCTATCAAAATAATATATTCTTCTTCAGGAATTTTCTGCTCTAAAGGATAAAATAATTTTTTAATTAAGAAATTATACATTTCTAGAAAATGGCACCACCCAGTGAATTTTAGTGTTAGGAAAAGCTAAAAAGGTTTACATATTGCAGAAGAAATGGTTTTCAGAGAAGCACATTTTCTATTAAATTTATAATGAAAACCAGAGCAGACAGCCAAGAGAAAAACAAATCTTATAAAACAGTTTTCAGAAACATATTGCATTACACACATTAGCAGGATCTCACCCATGGATATGATACAGTTAGCTCTTCATACACTCCTTTCAACTGGGGTGAGCTATAGCTAAGATAACTGGCATATATGGAGATTAAATCTGGAAAAGATGCTAGGTCCTCCCCATAGAATCCCCCCTGCCCTGCAATGGATGTCCGGGAATGAAAAGGGACCCTCAAAAGCCAAGCATCTGGCCCAAGGCACACAGCCAGCCAGTGGTGAGAACCTCACTTTTACAGACTCCTAGAACAGGGCTCTTTCCCACAAGCCTGAATCTAGTTTTCCATTTATTAGCACCAACTTTCTGTCCAAGAAACTGAGGAGAAATGATGACAGATCTGTTTCCATACCAAAGTGCTATGGAGGCAGGTAAACTAGCTTAAAAGGTGAGGAATGAGGAGGAGAAAGGATAAGAAATGAACAGCCCATAATAGCATTAATGTCCCCTACCTTGTCGAGTATTTCAAGGGCAAAAAAAAAAAAAAAAAAAAAAAAAAAAAAAAAAAAAAAAAAAATCAAATGAACACTTCTAGAAAAGCCTTTAGGATCAACTCAACTGAGCAGAGCCCCTGAAAAAAAAAAAATAGCTGGCAAGTTCTCCAATCAACCAACTTGTTCCCCCACTAGGTAGGAATATAAAATATGCAGGCAACAGTTTCTAGGGCATAAGTCATCTGTATAACCTATGGTTACAAATTAGCTACTTTGGAAATATTCAACGGGGAGTGAATTCTTTATTGGAGGCATTTCTTTCAAAACTACACCATTCAAGAAGCAAGCAGGGACCCTAGGGAGATGGTCCTGAGTAAGGGAATGAGCAGTGCACAGATTCACCCACATCTTGCCTGGCACCCACCCTCGCCCCCATCCAAATGCTTCCGAGGACCGTCCCAGGGACTCTGGACTAGAGAGAGAGGTTGTGGGTGGCTGCTCGGAAGTACCGTTTCTCAGGCTTGTGAGCGGTTCCAGCACTCCTCTCCTGAAGGCGGCCACTGGGTCCTGCACGCAGGACCGGAGGCTCAGCATGCTCTGTAGCTGGGGCTCCCTGATCAGTAGGTCCCTGTAGGCGGCCAGCTGGTGGGACCGGCACAGCAGAGCTGCAATGCTGTGCACGAACTCAGGCACCAGGCATGTGTACGTGTTGTCAGCTTGGCAGTAGTGGTAGGCCACGACCTATGCGGGAAGCAGAGCCGTCAGCACCCCTCTTGACATGCTCCCTCCGTGATCTCAAACACATGCGATGCCCCCTCTGCCACGGGAATGAAATACGTTGTTTCCATTCCCCAACACTGAGTCATTATTTAGCTTAATTGTTTCAGTTATTCTTTCATTCATTCACACGGTTTGCCAAGTTCTGGGCAGACTCTTAATTGCAGCCGCAAATCCATCTTGATTAGCACTAAGATCAGCACAAGGTACTCTGTATCAAAAATAATGAATAAGCCTCATTCATAAAACCTAAAGCCAATCCTGGTTTAGAGAATCTCTGAATAATCCCAATGTACTCAACATCCAGAAGTGCCACATTCACTTCATTCCTACTTTCAAAATAGCAGCATTTCCTTGGGAAACTCATGTGCTGCTCCCCAAAAGCAGATAAAGTTGGTGGCTAGGAAAGTGGCTCAATCAGTTGAGCATCCGACTTTGGCTCAGGTCATGAT